GTTTGTTGTATGTTATCATCTGTTTGGCCCCATTCCTGAGAGCCATCTCTAGAACCGCTATGCTCCATACCATTTTGTGAGCCAGGTGCAGCATGTAGATCAATTATGACATTTATCCCATACTTCTTGCAAAAGCAACCCTATCAGATAACATAAATGTCTTTTTGAGTTTGGACTGCGTGCAGTTTGGGCTGGAACAGGATTTAAATATCCCTAATAACTGATAAAAACAGGGGTTAGAGTAAATGAAATTTCTAAGAGGCAAATAATCAAATACTTGGTGTGCAACAGAAAAGATGAAATTGAAGATGTTTATTCAACTGATCTGTACCCATTTAAATAGAAAATGTAGAGCAACAAATTGCACAATACAAGGAGACGATGACTACACGATCTGGTAACAAGAAAGTACTCTTATCTCTAAAAACAAGGAACTGTATCTCTACTAAGTAACAAACTTGGACTCTGTCAACTATTAAACTAAAACTGCATATTATTTGGTAGACACGTAAACAATAAATTGACACATAAACAAAGAAATTGACACCTAAGCAAAGACCCATTTCAGCATTATATCGTAACATACTCTCCCTTAATGCTGAAATTTAAAACTCCAAGCAAATCCCTTAAATGGATAAATTTATCCAAAGGAAGTGGTTTCGTGAAGATGTCAACAACTTGATCCTTTGAGTTGCAATGAACAACTTCCAAGCTTCCACTCGCCACCAACTTTCTTATGAAATGATGCCGAGTTTCAATATGACGAGTCCGACTATGGAATATTGGATTTTTTTGTCATTGCAATGGTTGATTGATTGTCACAAAAAATTGTTGTTGGCTGCATTTGTAATTGCTTCATATCCTCCAGAGTTCTTCTTGTCCATGTGGCTTGACACGCTGCTGCTTTTAAGGAGATATATTCTACTTCTAAAGATGACAAAGCTGTAGAGGCTTGCTTCTTTGAACTCCAAGAGATAGCACCGGACCCCAAAAAGAAAGCATAACCTGAAGTACTATGCCGGTCATCAACACAACCTGCCCAATCACTGTTCGAGTACCCAAATAAATTAAATTGGTCATTTTTGCCATATAAAATGCCAAAAGAGATTGTCTCCTTCAAGTATCTTAGAATCCTCCTCGCTGCTCCATAATGTGTCTTGCTTGGACTCTGTATAAAACGAGATAGCACACTAGTGGCAAAAGCAATATCAAGCCTGTTGTTTGTGAGATCAAGAAGACTCCCAATAAGGCTACGATAGGCATGAACATCAACCTTTTCTTCTCCATCATTCAAACTGAACTTCTGATTAGAAACCATTGGAGTGC